GGGTCATATTGGTGGACGGTTTTCCACTTTTTTCTTCATCAACTAGCACAATACACTCCTGTTTTTGAACCCTGCTACCTATGTGTGCAGTCGCGAGAAGTGCCTTCAACGCCACCCCGTCAAGACCACAAAGCCTATTTACGGCAGCATTGGTCGAAAGCAATCAGAATCGGACTAGCGGGTTTAACCCAAAAATTGTGCCGAATTTCAAATCTTCCATTTCTTCAGATTAACGGGAACTTTTTCACTTTGCACATGCGATTTTCAAATACTACCTTTTTTAGAATTCTGCGATTCTAATATAGTTTTTGGTTGTTATTCGCTTGATCGCAGATCTTCGACCGTTGCCTCATGGTCTCTTGATAACTCAGGCTGTCCCTATTTCTGTTCAGAATGTTTTGAATACTGCCTTAAAGACAGTGCCCCCGATCGCCTTTCACAGGTTCTAGACTTTAGAACCATTAGATCATGTTGTAAGCGCAATGCTAAAGACGGACTCTCTCTAATCTCCACTTGCTACTTCTTCACGGCATATTCGATGAGGTTTACAATTATCACCGCTAACTTATCTGCGGTAATGAGAAATGATCGATGTGGAACAGGCGGAATCAGCTCATACTTGCTGAGCTGGTGCTTTTATCAAGCGCTTCTGAGCCGCGAAAGTGGGATACCCTCTATGACCACAAGCCCACCCATCTTGTATTCTAAACTACTTTCTGACTTTGGTTGATTGCCGACGCTGTCTTCAGGCTTTGCTCGCTCAATATCATGTCTTCTCACGTTATTGCCATGATTTGCCCCAGTGCTCGGTGGCCAGCGATGCTCCATCCAAGGGAGGTGACTAGTGATTGTATAACTCTTCGTTGAAGATTAGTGACGGCCTTATTTCGGATGCTTTCGACCACTTCCTCCCGCTTTTGACTCACTGTCGCCCATCACATCTAGTGCCAACTTGCTTTGACTATAACAATCTTTTCAATGAGATTGATGAAAAAAGTTTTTTTTATGTTGAGCGATCTCTGCAATGCGGCATGCATTTGACCTCTACATGGGGGTTTCGGCAGAGTGTAACTACTGCGCAACGCTTGCATGAGCGTATCGGCTCGCAAGAGGGATGGACGAACACCACACTGCTTGTTTTCTTCCTAAATCGGTCGCGAGCCAATCACCATTGGGAAATCATGGCAGCCGGACGCGTGCTCATCCCATCATCCTCACTCCGCCCCCGAGTGATAGCGATGTTACATACTAAAATATGTTCTTAGGGCATGGGAGGATTTTCGGCCAAAATCGTCTAGAACTCAAGTATCTTTGCCTAATCATTTTCCAGCACTGAACCGTGCCTTCGATACTTTCTGGTGAGATTCAGCAAAGTTAGCAAAGATTGTGTGCCCTTTTCACAATACCCATGAATGCCGCCGTCGCCTTGAATGATCACTGTGTTAGCACCGCTAGTAGTCGCTTGTATGGAAGCTAATGATCTACCAAACGGTGCTGGGTGAAGCGGTCCTCGTACGTATAGATGCCAACGGATTCGATTTCCATTTCACGGAGGGTTCGAAGTATTCGTGCTGCTACTTCTCCTCTGTTTGCTACGAGTACCTGTAACGTAGAAGATCAAAAACTTGAGTTTATGGAACTGATCATCCACAACTACTTATTGAATGAGTGCAATGAATAAATAATAGCCCCCTTTTTAAAGACCAGTCTGGCTGACGCGCATTACTGCGCGCATGGTTAAACCTATGGTACTGATAACTGACAGGATTTCTGTGCTGAGCACTAACACAGCGTAATTCCCATGTTTCGAAAACGGCCCATTTCATCATGTTTCTCCTTTTAATGAACACCAGTCGGATCGCCCGGCTACGCCGAGCTCTCCTCCTTCT